GGGCAGGTGCGGTGGGAATGCGGGGCCGCGGCGCGAGCGCCCTATTTATAGGCAGCCAGGCTCAAGCAGGTTTGCAAAAGGTCCAAAGTGCAGGTCCCCAGCCCGTCCGGTCCTGTTTGCTTTTCCACACCAGCTCTGGGCCGGAGGAGGGCCAAGAGGGTCTCACCTCAGACTCCTTCAGGCCGGCCTTGCCCATGGGGGCCTTGTGGTCCCGGCCGCAGGAGACAGTTTGCGGGGAAAAAGCCCCTGTCTTCTGGCTCTGACCGTGGGGGCCTTTGGAGAGCCAGTCCTTGGCCGGGATTGGGACATTTTCCTACATTCTTTCCCACTTTAGGTTTCTGTGGAAGGCCAAGTCCTGGCCGGTACCTCTGGCTGTGGGGAGAGAGGAGGAAGAGCAGATGGGGAGGCTCTGAAAGTGACCGGTGTGGTCCCTGCAGGGGGACAGCTGGGCCAGTTGGTGCCCAAGTCCAGCAAAGAGGAGCCGGTGGAGAAGACCAGGCCCACCCCGGGCAGGGCTCCCCAGAAATCTGAGGACTGGGCTTTTCCCAGTGTGCACTGGCCCCTCCGTCTTCTCCAGGGCGGGGAAGCCAGCGAGGGCACATGGAGGAGAAGGCTGGACATGGTGCACCCAGCAGCACCCAGCAGTGCCCAGTGCTCGACTCCGGCCCTCTCCCTCTCTTCCCGGTGCTGCCTGATCCCACAGGGAAGTTTCTTCTGCACGCTGTTCTCCTGCCGGGAAACCTCAGACCAGGGACATTTCCACAGCCCTGGTTTTACTGACCCAGGGTCGGTCCCAAGAGGTTGCTGGTGGCCGGGACTGCCATGGAGAGGATGAATTCTGAGCCGGGAATGTGGGGGGTCAGATGCACACCCAGGAAATGGGGCCACAGCTAGGCGGGATAGAGAAGGTTCACCTGAGGGTCCTAGCTGTGAGGGAGCACAGGAAGGAGCAGGGGCAGGAGCCCTAGGCCCAGCGGAGAGGCGGGGAGGGAGGGCGGGGCAGCCTGTTGCAGAAGCCAGCGCCTTTCGTCACAGCGTCTTCACTCTGATTTATAGGATACATCTGATGTAGCCGGCACCTGTGGGATCGTCGGAACCTTCTGATAGCACACAGGCTGTTCCACAAGAGTCAGCTGTAAACCACACTGGTGTTTGAAGACCAGAGTTCCCTCAGAGGAGACTGGTGAGTGTCACTTGTGTCTCGTTCCCTGCCCCGGGCTGGTTCTTCGTTGGGTGGATGTCATGGAGTCCTCCGCTGACATTGCCCAGACCGCAGCCTTGACCCGTGAAGGATCCGGAAGAGTTAGGCCACTGAAGCCCCATTTCTTTGAGCTTTACGTTTGCATTATTTAGCATGGGTGGACTTTCCACTGGACCTGCACCACTGTGTTTGAGGAAATAGTCCCACTGTGAGCATTTTTGGTTCCAGGGGAATGGGCAAGAGTATCTAAGTGCAGAGAGGCCACAGAGACGGCTAGCATTACTCAACAGCCTTCCCAGCGGGATGGCGGGTACAACCAGTGTCCAACGGTCAGCACAAACACGTGACATAATTGTCACGTGCTTGAAATCAAAAGCGACCCTGATACCTTGGATGTTGGGAAAATTGAGGAATGTTGGGATGCCTGCGAAAGAGCTGTCGCCGTGCCTAATAGAGAGCCCAAGACACCGAAGCCCTGGGTCTGCTTCCCTTTCTTATCCTGGTGACCCCTGGAAAGTGTCCCGGCTGGGCCCGGCTCTGTAGGGATCCTGCAGTGGGTTCCAGCACAGCAGCACTTCGAGCAAATGGCAAGCTGCTGGCTGAGTCCACTCAGACACCGGGGCTTGAGACGCGGAGTTTTCTGAAACATCAGAGGCTACACAGATCCTGAAGCTACTCTACTATATACTGTCTGGCTAGGTATCTGCCTTTGTCCCTTTTCCTGTAAGTGGAACTTTGCTCAGGTGATTCTAGTACACAGGTTCGCAGTTTCAAGGGACATCAGCCAATTTTCAGAGCACCGTCAAGCAGATGCAGGAGTCAGGAGGTCACTTCTCACTGAAGAGAGAAAATCCTGGTCCCGAGAGGTTTGGTTTTGGAAGCCAGAGAGGTACTGGACTCAGGAGGAGCTGGGATGAGCCCTAGCTGTTTCCTGGGAGCTCTGTAAATTGGGTTAAGCCTAGCAAGGTTTCCCTGTGCTTACAGGAGTCACGGCCTCAGGCTCCTGGGAACCTCAGAAAGAGTGAGTAAAGACAGTGATGTGAGCCACAAAGACACCTGGAGGACAGAAGGCTCCCCGTGAAGAGTAAGTCGTCATTCCAACAGAGGTGTTTGTCTGGCGTTCACTTGAGTGAGTTAACTACAACCTCCAGACAAACGGAGGCAAACAGAACGTGAGTAGGAAATCCAGGCCCAGGAAGAGGGGCGGGGTGAAACAGGACGGGGGCGGCAGTGAGTCCCTGTGACCCAGCGTCCTTCGGGCTCTGATGGTTGCTCAGATTTCTGGCATTTGATGTCTCGGTCCTTTCTGAGGTGAACTGAGGCCTCACCAAGGCAGGCAGGCTGGGGACTGCCATTTCACTGTCACACAGGCTGTTGCTAGGGTTTGTCAGCTAGTCTCCGGCTTTATCAGATTGTGAATACAAAGTCCTGTTGGGGCGAACCATGGATCTGAGTAATCGCAGGACTCTCCCATCAGAAAGACGCCTGACCCGTGGAATTCCAAGGAGTTAGATCATGCCAAGCACCCCAGTTACGGTCTCAGAAAAAAAGTCTTCCTTCTGCTTACCTGCAGCTGGCTGGAAGGTTCTGGTCAAGTTCAGAAAACCATGAAAACGATTAAAGGTCCCCAGCAGCCCAGCGTTCGGAGTTTGGTGTAGTGTGCACACTGAAGTAGGGACTCCGTACATACCTTGCTGAGTAGAATGAGTGGAACCACGCCATTTCAATTCACCACATTGCTTCCGGGATGTTTATGTACAGTGCCCATGTTGCTACATAAATGTTTTCAGTGACATCAAGCGAGGACATACAATCTGATACAAATTATTCCCAGCCATGCTATTCAAAAAAACTCATCTGGCAAATAGGGACTGGTACTGACAGTGATTAATTGGCGTATCTCTTTTGTGCTGCTGACAGCATTATAATTGCGAATGATGCCCAGAGGCTAGAAAGTAAATTTCAAGAGCTGCAGACAGAAGAGCACCCAGCACAGTCTGCACACGCCAATGACAAAACACGTGTGCTCACACATGCACACACACGAGATGTCCAGATAAAAACGGTGCCTTTAGGTGAACGGCTCAAGAGGAAGGTGGTGAGGTGGGTTGGTGTTACATGGGTGCATTCAGGTGAATCATGATCAGTCTCCCACAAGGGAAGAAGGGACATCCCTGCTCTGTCATTCTGCTTCCCAAGAGATAAATTTGGAGTGTGGAGCGGCAGTTCCTCCTGGGGAGAGAAGTCAGAGGTCTGCAGATTTCAGGGTGCAGTAAGGTGCTCTGTGTAAGGATCACTGCTCCCTTGACTGCGAAGATCATTCTGCCACCCTCCCACGACCGGCTTCAGTCCCGTGTCCTCCTGGAATCTCTTCTCGTGACCAGCCAGCTAGCTTCATGGTTGCTGAGCTGGCCTCCTATCTGTTGGTTTCTGTAAAGAATCACAAAGAGTTTTTGTGTATCCTTGTTAACTGGAACTTATATTTTTTCTGGTGATATTATTTAATTTTCACCTGTTTACATGTGACCTTGCCAATGAGAGAGAGAGGTGTGGGGTCAAGAACCACATGTGGTTTGCACTTTTGTCTCCCTGCTTTGTAACTCCTCGTGCTGAGGAGTAAACATCGCGATCGTAATGTCGTGTGGTCCTGGTGAGACGGTTTTCTGCCTGGGAGCCTTCATTTTTGCTCTCGGGAGTTGCTGGATATGTTTATGCCTGAATGTAGAATGCGTGGTGACCTTGTCAGGATCTGTAACCAGGGAATCACAGGACCCTGTCTAAGGCTGTGATGAGCGCGGGACTGGACTTCTTGGCCCATCCGAGCTCTGGATCCCATGACTCCGTGGAAACAAACACTTCGATGCACAGGGCCTGAACCTCACGGTGGGCAGGAGCTTTGGCTGAGGACTCAGGATCATGAGCAGGATGGATTTTCTAGAGACCACCACCTCTTCAGAGACCCAGGCTTATGCTGCCCAGAAAGTAGAAAACCTCCCTTCCTTAAACAGATTTCTAAATATGAAGGCAAACCCTCCTGGGGGACAGGAGAGCACCGAGTCACCCTCTGCGGCCATTCTTCCTCAAGCCTAACTTTAGGCTTCCTCTCGCTTGCCACCTCAGACAAGCTTCCTGGGTATAACTTGATGCTACCAGCTGTTCCTTATTAATGATTTAAAAAGGTTTTCTTAATATTTCCACAAGACCAAGCCCGGATACTGACGGAAGCCAGCCAGATGGGTCCCAAGTCTCTCCACTCTCTCCACAGATTCTGGAGCCCTGAGCCCTCCTCTCCAGAGATTCAGGATGAGGAGAAAGGCAGCGTAGCACATCACGGTCCATCTCTAGTGTGGCGGAGGGCCTGGGAAATGTCCACGAGCTGGACTGCAGGGCCCAGTGTGGTCCCCTGGTCCTGGAAGGTGACCGAGCCGTCTTGGATAGGGGCAGCATTCAGGCTGTTGGAGAGAGTGCACTGCTGACAGCCGTGGCAGGAGGTGGAGGCTGTGCTTGGTGCACCTGACAGCTTCTTAGGACTCAGCCTGGACTGGAGCGCAGGAAGAAGCTGGCTGAAGTGAGGTGAGGGACCGCCAAGGAACAGTTTGCTGTATCTGGGCCAGCACAGAGCTGCCAGGCTAATTAGAATCCGTGATTTAACTGGGGGTCACTGTGACACTGCCTACGATGTACTTGGCACCAAATGTAGGACATATGGCAAGAAAACGGGATCCTGCAGAAGCCAGGAGGACAGAGTGGGCTGTCCTTGTCAGGAGCTGGGCACAGAGGTGTGGGAAGCGGAGTTCAGTCTCAGACCCAGCTCTAGACCGAAAGAGGCTTCATTTTATAAATAGAGAAGCTAAGAGCTAGACAGCCTGAAGCTGTTTTTTCTTTTACATTTTTGGTTTTGTTTTAAAGATTTCTCTGTGACAAGGATGGAGGTCTCATAGATTATTAATTTTTCATTTTACAGCAGAGTGTTTTTCTCCTATAATTGTACAAAGTCTATATTGACTTCATAAAATGGTCGAGAGAGCGTTGAAAACGATAGATCTTTGACATCAGTTCCTTTATTGCTCATCAAAAGTGAATTTAGCTGATTTTGTTGGGGTGTGTGTAGAATAAATGCTTCTAGGTAGCTAATTACATGGGATCACAGGGTTCAGGGACTGAGGGGCAATGAGGACGTATGGTGAACAGAGCAGAGCGCCTAGACGAGGGATCAGTGCAGTGAGCTAACGCTGTGGGGGCGGAGCAAGCAAGGGTCCGGACGGAAAACCTCTCCATGCGTCTCTCTGCAGAGCGCCAGAGGGAGCCTGCAAATAGATGCGCACCGTGGGGTCCTATATCTCAGTCTCGGCCTCCCTGTCCCCTCTGGGTCACAAGCCAGCCGTGACAGGGAAAGCCGGAAGCCGTATTGAGTGGAACTTTGTTTCCAACCCATCTTCACCTGTCTCCTAGAGTCGAGACCGAACTGTGTCATTCAAGCAATAACATATCATCCTCACCACTGTGCACTTTGTTTTTGAAATGTGCTTTGTATATGTAGAACATCCGCTGAAAAAGTGCAGGAAAACTGAGAGCTTCGGTTTTCTGACCCGCGGAGAACCAGACGCCTGAAGGCGAGGGCGGGAGGAAGACTCTTCGAGTTTCTCGTTTCAGTGTTTGACAGTTTGGAACATGAATATTTGAAGTCTTTATAAACGAGAAAGCATGTGTGCCCACGAGTGTGCTAAAAGCCACTCTCCATCGCCTGTTTCCTTATGTCTTGGTCTTATGTCAGCATTACTGGGAAGTGCTGGGAATTACGGGGACATTGGGTCCCTGGAGGTCGTCCTCAGCTGGATGGGCAGAGCCCAGCGTCCTCCTCTCCCTGGGTGGGTACAAGCTCTTCCCCACCCCTACCCCTGCCGGAGGGGCACAGTCTGCCACTCTCACCAAGCCAGGCCAAGGCTTCCCATGCCCAAGTCTTTGAAGTTCCAAATCTATGACCAATTAAACCTTTGCCCTTTTGTAGTTCGCTCCCTCAGGTGTTTTGTTGCAGTTATACAACGTTGACTAATAAAGTGGTCAAAGCAGAAAGTGCTCAGAACTTTGCTGTTTAGAGTCAAGGCTCCTTTGTCCTTCCTTTTTAAAACAGTGGCATTTTTCTTTCTAATCAACTGACTTTTGCAAATAATGGCCACCTTTGCTGTTCCAAGGTCTCCATTGGAAAGGGGCTTTTAAAAATTTAATTTTATTGATATATTTTTAATGTACATTATGATCATATTCACCATAGGGAATTTGTACCTGTACATAATATATCTTAATTCTTTTTGGTCCTCATTTCCATGAGTAATCTCAAGAGTAATAAAAATACCTGCTGCAAGCATTAATCAACAATTATAAGTAGTTCTCCTTTTCAGTGGAAGAGAACTTTTAAAAAGCAATTTTATTAGGAAAAATTCACATACCCTAAAATATTTGTGGTGTACAATTCAGTGATTTTCAGTACATTCACAGAACCATGAAATCATCAGAATAATAAGTCCTAGAATATTTTCATCACTTCAGAAAGAAATCTGGCACCAAGTAGTCATTGCTCTTTAGTCCCTGTTCCTCAGGTTGTAGGTTGACTGTGTCTAGATTTGTCTCTTTTTGAAATTTTTATAAATGGGGCCATATAATGTATAGTTTTCTGTGAGTGTCCTTTTTCACGTAGTATATTTTTGTCATGGGTCATCTTTGTTGTGGCATTTTGACCCTATTTTTAAAAAACTTTCATATTTTTTAGTATGATACAAGTAGAGATTGATGAAGAAAATGTAAAAAGCAGTGTTCTTACTCCTATGAAAAAGCAAAACAAGTAATTAGAGAATAAGTCTACTTAACACACTCTGTCTCATGATCTTAAAAGTGGATTATATGCTTCTCAGAGTATGAGTCATAGTAAAAAAAGTGTACAAAAAAGGAACAAAAAAATAAAAGGTGAAAACTTTCTTTTCAATGCATGAAGAGAAATTGGTAGCATAAATAAAACAAATTAGTATATATCTTCAAATATTTATGCAACAACAGAATATATATATATATATATGTTTATATGGTTTCTCACTTAAGAGACGCTATTGGTGTTTAAGCTTTTATGTCTGATGTATTGCATGTAGCATTATGCTCTCTAGTTGCCTCCGTTTGTTCA